GAACAGCTCACCTGTAACAATGACATGTGTTGCTGTTGCTGTTAGCTGTTTTCTGTGGATGAGAGCGTGCAGTTGTGACCCCAGTGACCCCATCCACATCCATGGGCCCCTCTCCTTGTGCCCGCCATTTGGTGCTGGGCTATAAAACAAAATGAGAAATGTTGTTGCAAAAAAATGGCAAGCGGACATAAGTGCACTCTAGTCGAGTGGGGAAATACCCTGTAGGCAGTTAGATAATTTATATTTCCTTAAAATTAGAGGCAGAGTTGGAGATTACATGGAGTTAAATTTATTATTAAATTACTTTTTTATTTATTCATTTTTTTTTTTTTTAATCTTTTACACGTTTTGTTTTTGAGGCTTTTGAAGTTTTACCTTTTGTTTATCAAGTAACTTACTATATACGACGGTTGATATTATTTCTTTTCTATTTTTATTTATAAAGTTGTTATACTAAAATTGTTATATGATATAAGAGAATCTTATATAGATTCTCTAGACTGGGAGGATTGTATTACTAAAACACTTAATAAAAGAGCATTACTTAATAAAATCCTTAAGGCGGATACAGAGAAGAGCAGAGTGTAAGAAATAAGAGAACTTTTATTTCCGTATATATATTATAGATATGCTATATATGCTTATGGTTGGGCTATTCATTTTTTGAGTTTTCCTTATAGTTTTTTTTAGACTAGTAGTTATTTCATTCTTAATTCAAATCCCATTTTAACTCATCGACTTCAAGCCACTCACACATACACATACATTATCATATTGTTATCCCTTCAGTTGCCTTCCTTAACAAATCAATGTAGAGCACTTGATATACCCCTATTTAACTATTTCCAGCAATTATAGGGTATTGATTGCATATACTTGTATGCTGGGACTAGATGCCCTATTAGATTTAAACGTAATGATTAAACCGTTTGCAGTGCGTGTGCAATCAATTTGTTGTTGTTGCTGTTGTTGCTGACATATGGAAAACTTTCAACTGCCCAATCATTATCCTTGACCCACGGTCTACGGTCTACGGTCTACGGACTGCAACAGACAATGTGTCATTTTAATAGGCCGACATTATTCACAGTTGTATTTGAGTTAAGTTCAGTTCAGTTGAGTTCAGCTTCAGTGTTCGGGTAATTAAAAACACTTGTCTGATTTAAGCATTGGAATTTTACAGCAGGTCTACTGCGACAGGCAGTGATATGTGCTATAAGTACATTTTTAATGCGCTCAAATTGAATTCAATAGCACTTTCTAGTCTGACGGAATTGATATGTCTTCTAGTAATTGATTTTTTTCATTTATAAATATTTTTCAACTTTATTAATTTTATTTATTATATTTTAGTATATTTATCCAATAAGGGATAAAGTTTTTTTTCTGTTAAAAATTAAAGAAAAAAATTAGGTTTTTTTTACTGTTTGTACACTATTTTGTATTTAATATTTTCTTTTTATAACACATTAATTTGCTTTCAACTAATACTTTATAATATGCTTGATTGATTTATTTTTATATATAATATTAAAAAAAAAAAAATATATATATATATATATATATATATATATATATGTATTTTTAATATTTCAAATGCATTTCACATATATTTATAATAATTTCTGTTTTTCATATTGATAAATGAATATAAAAATGCCGCTAAGCATTATTATAAGTATATTTTATATATATATTTATTATATATTATTCTCTACAAAATAGTAACAATTTGATGGCCTTTGTTTCCCACAGTATCTATATTCTATTTTATACTTAAAATTGTTTAATATATGATATTTAAATACTCAAATCATATATATACACACATATATAATAGTTATATTTTTCTTATTTGTAACTCTCGTAATAAATTTTTTTTTATTATAATATAAATTAATATTTAAAAAATTATTATTTTAATTTCAATCGAACAAGCCACTTCAGTATTTCATTTCATACAAATTTCAACGGTTATTTCCTAAGCACATTTTATATAAATCTCCTTTGGTGTAACTAAAATGCAATCGCTTTACGCTTATCCGCAACATCATTCATTTCACCCATTTGATTAAGGTCAAGCTACTCTCTTTTCATTTGTTTTTTCCTTTGGGCGCTCGGTTCACCGGAAATTGCAGCGAAGCAGTTGACCCAAACTAAAAACAAAACGATGGGCCATAAAAAACAGCAACAACAACAACAAGAGACAAACAAAAAACTGTACCCAAAACAACTCTAAGATAAATCTGCGAAAAATGTGGAATTAAATCTGCAGAAAATGAAGAGAAAAATTAGCAAAAGGCGAACCGAACCGAACGAGGCCCAAACACAACAGCCAAACTCATGTAGGAAACCATAACGAGCTGATGTTATATATAGTATATACAAATATACACATATATAAACAAATATATATATGTATAACTGTGTCTAGAGATCAGCGCATGATGAGCGAAGGC